TTATATTATTATAATTATATTTCAATTAGACCAAGGGTTCTCAAACTGGGGTCCCAGGACCCCCAGGGGTCCGCGAGCTGTGTCTTGGGGGTCCTCAAAAAATTTCAATAAATTGTTAATTTGGTTTTTATTTAAAAAAATACAAATGGGTAATAATGCACTAGTAAAACAAACATACCACACCAGACAAAAAATAATATTACCATGGCATTTAGGGGTTAAAATAACAGTAAATTATTTTTGCATTAACATGGGTTTATGAGGGGGTCCCTGGAATTTCTTCACCCTTGTAAGGGGTCCCCAGACACAAAAACTTTGAGAACCCCTGAATTAGACTATAAAAAATGCGTGTGATTTTAAAATGATTTAATTTATTTATTTTTATTCTTGTAGTAATTTTGTTTGTTACTCTTCCTGCACACTGTTTGGATGACACCGACATCGGCCTGTTTGAATACAAGAAAAAAAAACACACACATTAAACAACACTGTGCGGGAATTAGACATGAAAGAAAAACATGGTGACACACAGTGGTGGGCAGCACTAATTTAAAGATTAGTTCCAGTAGTCCTAAAGCACTAACTCAAATATTTAGGTCCCCTAATTCTAAAGCATTAATACACTGAAAGATTTAGCAAAAGCTAATTCTAAAGCACTAAAATAAGCCAGTCAACCCATGGACATCCTTCAACAGACAACATGAGTCACATGTTGCTTTCTTAAGACTTATCAATGATATTCCACAGCTGTATTTGGGTTCATTTATTGTTAATATTGTCACTGGATAAGTGACACATATGTGAACAAAATGTGTGACAGCTTTCACCGTCAGCCGTTAACATTAATGTTGATCAATAACATTTTTAGACTTCAGTTAGTGCTTCTAAATTTAGCTTCTAAATTTAGCAAGTGCTAATCCACTAATAAATTTTAAAATCAGGAAATTAGTTCCCCTGTTAGTGATTTAGTGCTTTAAAGGAATTGTGCCCACCACTGGTGACACAAAGGGTCGATTTGAAATCTTAACATGTATGTTTTTGATATGTGAGAGGATAACTGAGTGCTCCAAGAAAACCTTCACATAGGGAGAACCTACACAGACGATGCAGAGAGAGCTTGTGATTTGAGACAAAATCGAAACACAATCTTCCATCACAGGGAGAAAAATGTGTCAATTCGGTCACTGATTAGTTTGGTACATTGTGAACTATACTTTTGTGTTAACCTGCTTCTGTTTTGGCAAAGAGATCAGGCTGAAAACTTCAATTAAAAAATATTCTTGGCTTTGAATCACATTTAAGGCTTTATGTAATTCATCTTTTGTTTATGCTAGCTTACTTCTCAAGTTAATTTTTTAATGGGTTTTCTTTCTGCTTTTAACGATGTGATGGTTATTGTTTTCGGGAATCATTTTGTCATTCATTACTGCTTCTCTGCTCTTCTGCTTTTTGTAAAATCATGCTGTTAGTTCATGGTTTAGCTGGATATTTGCCTCTGTGGTGATCCTGCAGGAATGGTACGGTGGAAACATGGAGGGATAATGCACCTTGAAACCGGTAATAGATTCGTGCCGAGTTCGGCTAGGATGAGCATGCTTACAAGAAGAACCCAACACCGTCTAACATTTTCCACACTATTCATTACGATTTCACATCCAGAAAATAAAGATAAATAAATGACGGATGCTTCTGAGTAATAAGGAATTTGGGATTTCCTTTTTCTTTTTCTGAGCAGGCACGAATGGTTGGGTGGAAGGGAGGAGGGGAAGGAGGGCCATGATGGTGTGCTTAAGAGCGGTGCCAGCGTGAGGCAGGGTGGTCACAGGGCGGGGTGGGGGTGGGGGGGATTATAGGCTGAGGGGCAGCGGAGGGAAACCAAATCCATCTCCATCTCAGAACCGTCCTAAAGCAGATTACTTACTTCAGCAGCCAAGGAAGAGCGGGAAGGATGGAAAGAAGCAGCAGATGAATGAGGAAGCAGAGGAAGAGGCAGCAATTAGCATAGATGCAATTCTGGCTCCGTCCTCTGACTTGATATTTGACCTTTTGTAAGAGTCGTGCCAGATATTGCCGGAGAAGCGCAGACGGACCATATGGCAAAGTGCTGCTGGAGGCTGAGATCAGTGTGAGTTGGAGCCTCTGTATGGTAATGGGAGAATGTAATTACAGCGCGCTGTTCCTGCAGGACGTATTTTTCACCAGCCCTCCGTAGGAGTAGCTTTGCATTAAGTGGACAGTAAAATGGAATGAGCCCTATATTCCCGGGGCTGAACGGCAATATGTCTTATGAGCAAATCGTGGTGGAAAAGGAGAGAGACGTAGTTAAAAACATGAAATCTACACTGAACCTTTTGATGAAGAAAAGCTGCTGAAGCCCCTCTACTCCCCACCTTGTCGCTGATGTCACAGCAGGGCTTTTTTTTATTGGCTGCCAGCAGGAACACATGCTGAATCAGTGACATCACAGATGGGGGCGCCACTCACATCTTTCACACAGTTTGATTAAATGTTTTAAATATTGTTTGTAAACATTTACAATTACACTGATTCCTCGAGATCTATGACAGAAACTTTAATGTTTATCGTCTTTATCGACAACTGAGATCAGAAATACAGAAAGTTGAGGTTCGAGACAAAAACTTTAGGAGGGAAACCCAGATATGCCTCTCCCCAACAACATTCTTGGAGATATTATATTATTGTACCAAGGTGCTCCCAGACCAGAGACTATACCTGTGAGTCTCTCAGACACTCCCCCCAGTGGGATCTGCCCAAAAATTATCCAGACTGAGGTACCCAGGAGGCATCCTAATCAGAATCCCAAAACACCTAGGCTGACAGAATTTGATGAAGAGGAGTTATATGCCTTTATTATTAATATTATTATTATTTATTATTTTTGTCAGGATGCATAGCTCATAGCCAAAGTTAAAAATCGGAATGTACAGGAGTCAGACAATGAAACTGAACCACCTGGTTTTAGACCATAACATCCCTTTCAGACAGCTTCCTCTTGCGTCCACAGTTAATCCTGTTGGATGTGGTTGGTCCTTCTTGGTGGTATGCTGACATACTCTGGATACTGTGGCT